GGTGGAAAATTAATTTCCTCTGAAGTTGTTTGTTGAATATCTTCTAATATTTCTGAAAAATCCATTTTTCTTCAAGCGGTTTAAACTCTTTTGTCAACTTATCCACATCTATATATATGTTTTAAATTCCTGTAGATCATTTTGCTGATTAGATTTTTGTTTATTTCTGATGAGGTTTTTGTATTACTTATCATGTTTCACTACATCTATCAGTTATTTTTAGCGCTTAAATTATTTAACCGCGTTTTTCTATTTTAAGATTATTTTTCCTTGTTCTAAAAATATCTTCACATTTTTCTCTAGAACTTTCCAGAAATATTTTCAAAAATGATTTTTGCGCGTCTTACGCATCCACATTTTTCATAATTTTTCGCGTCGTGATTTTTCATAATATTTTTGTTGTGCCTGATCTTAACGTGTTTTCGCGTCGTGCCTATTTCTTATATAAAGTCTAAATTTTTCCCTTTCTCTTTATCTTATCTTCACGTAAAATCTTTGATATTATCCCAAAATTTTTTCCAAAATTTTCTTTGTCTACCTATCTATCTATCTACCAATCTATCTATCATGACTTGTCGTCGATCTAATACCTCACGTCAGAAGTCTCGAGCAAGATTTCAAAGGCTTAAAGAAGCGCGTAAGATGAAAGTTCGTCAACTTGAAGGTGGGTATTGTACGCAAGGTTCTTAAGATGTATCTTGAACGGTATGATTGCCTGTAGACAAGGTTTCGACCTTATATCCAGTTCTTGAACGGTTGATTTTGCGCAGCTTGTAGACGGGGTACTTGTACTTCTAGGATATTTAAGTCTTGAAAGGCCTCTACTTGTAGAACTCTTTTGTGCTATCGATTTATCCACTTAGTTTTTAACTAACTTGGAGTGACCATAAATCTCCATTTTTATTTTTAATAGAGGATCTTACGAAGGCTAAGGAAGAAAAAGAAGATCTTCAAGAGAAATTTGAAAGCTTGCTTGAAATGGGGACTCATAAGAATCTCGATACTGAGTTCCATAATAAACTCTGGGCTGAAGAGCAGCGAAAATTATGGGAAGCCCAAAAATTAATCATCGATCAGCAACGAACGATAGAAGGTCTGGAAGAAGGAGTTTGTCAATTAATTTCACATAATATAAGCTTGCAGAGTAGTAGAAGTCGTGCTGAAGCAGCATTTGAAGAAACAAAGCAAATGCTTTTTGAGGAATGTAATATAATTTTGTCAAACGGTTCTACTTCTAATCCTAGTTATGAAGAAGTTGATTAAATAAAAAAAATTTCTTCTTTCTGATTTTCTCTATAATTTTCTAATATATTTTGTAATAAATTTTTCATTAAGTTTTTCACAATAAAATTTCTAAAATTTTTCCATCTTTTTAATAAATTTTTCTGGGGCATTGAGTCGCAAATTCATTTTGATCGTCTGTAACACTTGTAAATCGTACTAAGTAAAATTAACTATTTGCCACGAGTTGTAGATCTTAATCGTGACTAATTATACTACAATTATTGGTTCCCAATTTTGTCGATCATGATACAATTTTAATAAACTTCCATTTACAGGAGTTCGTAAGACTTTTCCATCTATAGTTCGTAATTTGTACGCTCCTTTTTCTCCAACTTGATGAATATAGTATGGTCCTTTCCATTTTGGATTTAGTTTTCCAGTCCATTGCTTTTCTTTTGCTGCGTCATAATATAAGACTTTATCTCC